GGCAGACTTCACTGTCGTTCTGTCATTTTTTAACTTAGCCTATAAAATTTTTAATAATTTATTACTTATTATGAAGACTTCACTTGTAGATCTAGATTAATATCTATTCCGAGATTGTGTAGGCTTACTGTCCTAATGGCTGCTCTCTATTTAAAAAAATAATCTTAGCTGTGAAGCGTGCGTAGATCTACTCTGGGCCGCGCACCATTGATTGTCCCACATGATTTGCCAGAGAGCACAATCTGGGATATTTCGACAAATATAATGTGCAAATCACAACTCCACGACGTTCATTTATTGTAGATTTCTCGTTGTTTGTTTTATACCTAGGCCTATTTTTGTTCTAATCCGTGTTTTGGAGGAAGTTTGCTTCCTAGGCTTACATCCGGTTTGGTGTAGTAAGTCAACAGACGACAAAATACAACTGCTGATCAAACATGTACAGTCGATGAGAAGAGCGATTATCTTCAATCACTGTGAGAACTTTTGAAAGTTTGCATTGGTTTGATGACCGATGCAGGTAAAAAGTGGGAGGACTCCCGTACCGAGCGACCGCTATGAGACAGAGTAGAATAGAAATCTAGAGGAGTAGGGGTAGATTCTAGGGTTAGGTCTCTTCTTTATTACTTTATTGAATTTGACTGTGTTTGTTAGGGTGGTCGCTCGTTACTACGGAAGTCCTTCCGGTAAAGTCTCTTGCTCAGGAAACAACAAATGCAGTTTTTGGGACACCTGAATAGACTTGAGGGTCTTGAACGTCTACCTAGCTCTCACTGGCAAAATTGAGGGCAAGCGAGGCAGGGGTCCGGGTAGGCCCAGAACTACATACTTAGGAGGGAACCTGAACAAATGGGTGACAGGGAAAGATCAGGGAAACGTGGCTTTTTTTAAGAGCATCCGAGCAAAGGAATGAATGGTAAACCATGATCACCGATGTCTGTCGCAGATCTGGCACTTGATGATGATGATGATCTCTTGCTCGCCAAGCGTCAAACATCATATCGGCCTGCGCGTCGGAAAGTGACAGTGGTGCCCCAGCTATCCGCCAGACTTAAGGATAGGCTCAGTTGAGAGAGGGGGAGTGCTGTGGAATTGTTTTAACATCTAGATATAGATCTAGATCTAGAGCAGACCTGTTCAGCAGTGATGAAAACCAAGATCTAGAAGGGAATGGGTGTTTTCAACACAAAGAAGGACATGATATGTCTAGATCTATTGTTTTATTTATTTGTTATTAAAAATGAATCACTTTATTTGTGCTTCCCACTCCCAGCCTACACTGTACACTCCCAGCCAAATGTGCGACCTGCTCTGATGGCTGTCCTGTCACCGTCATTGCCGTTGCCAAACAGGGGACAGTTGACGTGAGATCAACCATACCTCAACGATTGCATTATCAGGTGATTTACATACCTCAGAAGGCAAAAGGGGCAGAGGTGGACCATAGCTGAACAATTGTATTGTATTATAAGATGTTTACATGTACTACAGAAAGCAAAAGAAACAGAGGTAGACCGCGAACAACAACCTACTTAGAGTAGTATTTGCATGGATGACTGATGATAAAAAAGCGGGAAAATATATTATTATATATGTGAGGCATCGTGGTGAAATCAGGTGCTGGTCAAAATAATGAAATCAGAGATATTGGCATTGTTCCTCCAGTTTGACAATTTTTTTTCTAATTTTTGTTTTTGGCTCAACACCTTTTATTATGTCCATTTAAAAACATATATATTTCTTTGTCGATTTTACTGAAAAACATTGATTGATTTAAGTTCCTTTTTGTTCACTGGTAAAACCTGGTGGTAAGCGGGGCTGGCGGTATGGGGGGG